AATAACTTATCCTTCACTTTAGTAGGAATATCTCGACATGCCCCACACCACTGGACCCCTAGAAATTTCACTGAGGTGGAAGGTGCCTGAATTTTCATTGGGTTAATTTCCCAACCTCTAGCACACGTCTCACCAATAAGTCTAGAGTCATCGATACTTCTTCTTTACCAGGTCCAATCAGCATAATGTCATCAATATAATGGACGAGTGTGATGTCTTGTGGAAGGGAAAGACGATCAAGATCCCTATGGACTAAATTATGACATAGTGCCAGGGAGTTGATATACCCCTGAGGAAAGACTGAGAAGGTATACTGTTGGCCTTGCCAGCTGAAGGCAAACTGCTTCTGATGGTCTTTTGAAATTGGTATTGAGAAAAAAATCATTGGCCAGATCAACAGCTGCATACCAAGTACCAGGAGATGTCATTGTGGCCCAGCAGTCAGCGTGGGGACATATGGAGGTCAAGTTATTGATGGAGTCTTAGCTAAGGTGCATCTCACAGTGGGTCCGGTGGGTCCCCGAACCCATCCTGTCATGATTTCCCACATGCCGGAATGCATAATTGGAATAGATATACTCAGCAATTGGCAGAATTCCCACACCAGCTCTCTGACATGTGGAGTAAGGGCTATTATGGTAGGAAAAGCCAATTGGAAGCCATTAGAACTGCCTCTACCTACAAAAATAGTAAACCAAAAGCACTACCGCATCCCTGGAGGGGTTGCAGAGATTACTGCCACCATCAAGGACTTGAGGTCCCTTCTGACAACATGACCAAAGTAGGTAAGATGAAGTCTGGCCATTCTCGCTTCCAAGGAGCATTCTGGTTGCACTTTCTCCAGGACAGATTTGATAGTTCTTCTGAAAGTCCATGGTACTTTCAGTATTCTTCACCAACACCACAATTCAAAAGCATCAATTCTTATTCAGTCTTCCTTACTCATTGTCCAGCTTTCACACACATATGAGGCTATTGAAAATACCATGGTTTAGGTTAGGCACACCTTAGTCTTCAAAGAGACATCTTTGCTCTTCAGCACTTTAAAGAGGTTTTTTTGCAGCAGACTTGCCCAGTGCAACATGTCATCTGATTTCTTGACTGCTGCTTCCATTGGTGTTGATTGTGGATCAAAGTTACATTAAATCTTTGATTGACAACTTCAATCTTTTCTCCATTTATTGTGATGCTGCTTATTGGTCCAGTTGTGAGGATTTTGATTGTCATACTAGGCACCAATAAATAAGAAAAAAAGCTCTCAGTGAGGGGACTAAAATTTCTCAGACCACTTATAAAATAATTACACACATAAAAAAGGTATAAAGATAAGGATAGAAAAAGGAAAAGCTTACTCAATTCTAATAAAGGAGACCTGGTCATTCTAATGAATGGTAAGTCATGTACAAAATTGTAAGATCCAACACTTTATTGTCTTAATTTTAAACCTCATCAAAATTTTTCTATGAAACAGAAAATGAATTTGAAGATAGCAAATTTTTAGAAATGACCATTACCACTTGAAATAAGTAGATGTACACTCTCAAATTAGTTCTATCCCAAAGTTGGAAATTGCTTTTAGGAAAGGAAAACCATAAAATATCAGAAATGTCTGGAGATTCAGAGACATCCACACACACACATACACAAAATCAAGATTTCTGAATATCAATCTGGTTCCCGGCTACTCATGGATTTTTTTCCAGCCCCAAGTCAAACATTTCTGTCATTCATTCAAAGTGGCAATGCCAACAAGACTTTTTAGGGCCCCTTTCATGTCCTTGTTCCTCAGACTGTAGATAAAGGGGTTTAGCATGGGTGTCACTATGGTATATATCACGGAGGCTATTGCATTGATTCTGGAATTTTGGGTAGTGGCAGAACTGAGGTAGACCCCAATACCTGTGCCATAAAACAAGGAAACAACTGAAAGGTGAGACCCACAAGTGGAAAATGCCTTATACTTCCCCCTTGCTGATGTAATTCTCAGTATGGATGACACAATCCGAGAATAAGAAAATACGATGCCACTGAGGGGAATAATGCCCATCACTCCAGTTGCAAAATACATCTCTATGGTATTGAGGAAGGTGTCAGAACAGGCAAGTTGGATCACCTGATTGATTTCACAGAAGAAGTGGGGGATCTCCAAGTTAGTACAGAAGGACAGCCGCAACACCAGTAAACCACGCAGCAAAGAGTCAAGGACACTTAATATCCAGGACACCAGTAGCAGCAAGCCACAGAGGGTGGGATTCATGATAATGGTGTAGTGCAGTGGGTGACAGATGGCCACAAACCTGTCATAGGCCATTATAGAAAGGAGAAAAATATCCAACTCTGCAAAAAGAATGAAAAAGTACATTTGGGTGAGGCAGCCTTGATAGGTGATGGCTTTGTTATGGGTATGGATGTTCACCAACATATTTGGAACAGTGGTGGAGGTGAAACAGATGTCTACAAAGGACAGATTGGAGAGGAAGAAGTACATGGGAGTGTGGAGATGGGAGCCAGTGATGGTGGCCAAGATGATGAGAAGGTTCCCAATAAACGTGACCAAGTACATGAACAGGAACAGCCCAAGAAGAAAAGACTGCAATTCCTCTTCATCTGAGAGTCCAAGGAGAATAAACTCTGGAATCTTTGTGTGGTTTTCTGGTTCCATGTAACTGGTGTGACTGTAAAGAAAGTGAGAAAAAGAACAATGCTTTACAAATAGCTATCATCAACCAGCTGCAATACTGTAGATTATAATTTTCACATGATAAATATAAAGACAAGTATTATATTTTATACATAAAATAAATAAACTCCTGTATTTTCTCAATGGATCAGGTTCAGGTGACTATCCAGAGGATTAAAAATGCACCCATTCTTTGCACCACTGTCACACTTTCCAATTTAGCAAACTAACCCTAATCATAGCCTACCTCTTAAAGCCAGCACTCTTTCTGCATATATTTCTCTGAGATAGAATCATCTAGCTCTTTGGTCCTCTGTGTGTGATCCATGGACTAGCAGCATCAGCCTTACTGGAAGCTTGTTAGAAATGCACAATCAGTATACAGTCCCTACTGAACTAGTATTTGCATTTTATCAAGTTCTCAGGTGTATTAGTTTCCTGTGGTCACCAATTACCTACGTAATGTTTCCTAAGCAAAAAATTACAACAAAGGGTGTGGCTTAAAACAACAGAAATTTATTCCTTCACAGTTCAGGAGGCCAGAAGTTCAAAATCAAGGTATCCATAGGGTTAGCTTCTTCTGAAGGCTTTCTCCTGGCTTCTGGGGGCTGCCAGCAATCCTTGGTGTCCCCTGGCTTGTAGACACTCTGCCTCCATCTGCATGTGGCCTTTTCTCTGTATCTCTGTGGCTTCTTTTCTTCTTGTTGGGAATCAGTCATTGAATTCAGGAAAACCGAAACCAGACTCACTGCCGTCGAGTCGTAGCGACCCCCTCCTTGAGTTTCTGAGATGGTATCACTATGAAAGTAGATTGCCCAATCTTTCTTCTGAAGGGTGGCTGGTGGGTTTGAACTGCCAGCCTTCTGGTTAGAGCCAACCCTAAATCCAGAATTATTTCATCTCAAGGGCTTTAATTAATGATATCTGCAAAGAACTGTTTCTTAATGAAGTCACATTGTGAGGTTCCAGCTGGACATACATTTTGGAGGGACACAATTCACTCCCCTACACCAGGTGATTCATATACAAATTACAGTTTTAGGAGCACTGATCTAGCGAGTAGTGAGTGCCTCCAGGGATAAGAAGGCACTCATTTTAAGTGTTTGTTCCTTTTACAAGCTGCTTAACTATGATATTACTCTTCCAAAAGCTAAACTTTGACTCCTTGTGATTTTCATCAGCTG